GGTAGCAAAAAGCATTTTATAAATTAGAGCAACACTTGCTGCGCTGCTTGCGGCTGCTGTTGTTGCCATTGTTGTTGTTGCTGTTGTTGTCGCTAGCGTTGCCGCCTTAATGCCGCACCTTGCATGCGAAAATCTTTTCACGCCTCGGGCCAGGCATCATGCGAAAAACTAATTTCGGCGCACACATCGTATGTCTTGGCTCAGCTCCAGCTCCTCCAATTGGAGCACTAGAGACGACGGACGACGGACGACGGACGTCGAAAAACTCCTTATGCCGGAAGATGTTTCAATTTTGTGAAAAATCGCAACAATTAAGTGATTCAGGTGGCCTGATTTCAGATTTCCTAGCCAAAGAGTTTCATTCAGCTGTGCGAGCTCGCACTGTGGCTGGATGTATTTCGATGACATCATTCCATTCAATCGATTTGAAACGCTTGAGCGGCTTTTACAGATGTTTGCATAATTTGTCGAAAATGGTCAAAAGGCATTTGTGCACTGAAATCGAACATAAATCGCTAGATGTTTGTCTCGTCTGCCAGTCGCAGCCGCAAAGCCAACAAATCAATCAGAATCGCTTGACATTTGACAGTTAATGCACGAAGCAGCAACAGCAACAGTTACGAGCGAGCAGGAGCGGGAGGCTGGAGCTCTGGCTGACAGCGTTCTCAATCGTGGCGCCAGATCGCATCGAACGATTTAGGCAACGAACTTGAGGCCGTCTTTGCAGCCGCCGCCGCCGCCGCCGCCACCTCACTCAAGCGTAATTGATGAATTTACCTAAATAAAGAAAACAACTGGGCGCGCTTTTCCAGCAGGTGAAATTTTCCAAATTATTAATGATAATGACTTTTTACGCCAGCGCAAATATTTGAGCAACACTCCACACAACCAGCGGCCAGCGAGCACCACAGCGGTGCCGGGATAGACAGACCTCAGATCTGTAAACTGACCCACTAAGCTGCTGGCCGCGCAGTCGCAGTCGGACGTTTAGCCAATGTGGTTTTTGTACCAAGTGCAAAATGTAAATGAAAATTGTGCTGTGCAGCAGCGCCCAGCGGCGACCCGGCACCACCTCCTACTCCACCAGCGATCACCGACAATTGTTGCAATAATTTAGTAATTTTTTTTTTTCGCTTGTGCAATTTCATAAATTTGCATTTGTATGCCCAGTGGCCGGCGATTGGCACACATTTCCGCGTAATCATCATAATTTTTCCTGATTTTCCACGATATTTGATTTAATGCATTCGCTAATTTAGTGAAGTCCACCGTCGCGTCGTCGTATCCATTACGATTTGGCACGCCGCATAAAATGGCACATTTGAATACATTTCAATTTGGACAGTTGCCCCACTGATGATGATAATGATGACGATGACTTCATTAGCTCGACTCGTTTTGGCGAGCAAGAGTGTTTCTCGATCTCTTGATTAATGCTGGCGGAATGACGGGATCGATGCCAAGAGACACAGTTTCTATATATGAATGTGTAGGTGTGTGTGTGTGAGTGTGTGTTTGTGTGTGTAGCTCTGCTTTGGCTTAGACTCTACGACTCGGCGAGTCTCGGAGTGAGTCTTGGACTCAGCCCCGACGCCCAGTTGTCAATTATCATCATCTTGAGGCCCGCTCGCATGATCGCTTTGCCAGAATTATTATGTAAGTTTTTGGCATATTTAAATGATTTATGGCCCAAGGCATTGGCCATTGGCTCTGCGCATGCGGCTGTCCAGCCTTTGCTCTTGGCTTTGCTTTCCTCGTTGCTTCTTCGTCTTAGATGTTAACGTTCAAGTTGAAGTTGATGTCGGCACCGGCGTCGGCGTCGGCGTTGACTTCCTGTCCCTGGCCGACGTTTGAGGAGAACTTTTCATATGCGGGACTTGAACTTTTGGGGGCGCTAAGTCGCAGCCATTTGTTATCGATGGTAAAAGTTGCAGGCACTGAAATATTTTACAGTTGTGTGTCATGAACTTTAATGTTAAGCATGTTGATGTTGTTGCTGTTGTTGTTGTTGTTGTAGTCAATTTTTATGCAGTTTTCATTGCGCCTGCCGATACCTTTAAATGTGAGCAGTTCATGGGAACAACATTTGAGAAAGTCGTTGTTGTTATTGTTAATGCAGTTGTAGCTGTTGCTGTTGTTGTTGTTGTTGTTTTTATTGTAATCTTTGCTGTTGTTATTGCTGCTGCCGGGTCGCGCTTTAGGTGCCAAAGCTCGCAAACGTGCTGAGGTCGCGTCAGAGCATCAAATGGCAATCCCCAACACATAATTACACGTGCAAAATCTTATGTCTGACATTTTTGGGTTAACGCGACAAAGCATCATCGCAACACGGCAACATCAGCTTACCTGTCAGGTGTCGCAATTAACAGCACGTTTAATAACTCAATCGCCAGATGGATGTGCCCGACTGACCCTCATCAATATAATATGCAATAATTACGAATAGCCAACGCGCTGGCTGGAAGCCGAGCCAAATGCTGACCGAGCCAACACTTTGTGCTATAATTTTTGCCATTTACGAAATTGTAAATCAGTGTAAAACATTAATAGACTTGTCAGCGTTGTTGTTGTTGTTGTTGTTGTTGTTGAGCTGTTGAAGACAGGCGTGTGAACTTGATCAGCCACAAAAAAATAAACGACGCGCAGCTAAGCCAACCGCAGCATCCACACGCGTATGATCTTAATTTCAAAATAATATATATACCAATAATATGTATATTATAACTGAAATTAAGTATTTTCCCTATCGAAACTTTGATGCTCTGTAACAATACATTGTATATCAGTTTACATTACAATTTAAATATTTTGGTATATTTATAGATCTGCCATCAATTATTGATCCATATATCTTATAGATCTATTGGAAGAGCAGCTTCGCTTAGTTTTTAAATTGTAAAATATATATTCGATATATATACGTATAATGCAGTGCTCAGTTCAAGAGCTCTACCTACATTAGAAAACATGTTTAATGCTGGAAGCCTAATGGGTATGATATACAATCTCGAATCTTAGTAGTGTAAATATATACATTCAAAATTCCAAGTCTATAGAGTAAACAGGCTTTTCTCTTACACAGACAGTGTATAATGCAAAATGATACTCATTACAACTTCAGAACAAATAAATAACAAATATTAGATAAATTTTATAATATTAGATTATTTGAATAATATGAAGATAAATGTATTAAAGATAATATTATAGAAATATTAGAAAATTTTCAAATTTGTATTATATATTTCCGATCATTTGAATATAGACAAACCATTCAATACAGTCCATCGACAACAACAAAGCTAACGTAGACGAGCAAATTGATTTCTCACAGCTTTGTAATTTAAGCGATTTATAAAAAACAACAACAACAACAACAACAAGGTGAGAATTCGTTCAGATCGACCGCAAGTTAATTGCAAAGTTTGTGGTCATTGGAAATAGTAATTCAATTAGTTGTAGCCAAAGTTGAGGTGAGGAGAATCGAGATTCGGCGAGAGCAGAGCCGACGCTTGAGACGGCTTGGCCGGGCCAGCAGAAGAAAGTCGAAGCGCCATGTGGACAAAAGAGGTCTGTTTGCTTAACCCCGTCGAGTATTGGCAAATTTATGAACATAAAGCAGCGTTTATGCGTGCGGCTTATATGCAATAAAGGTAACTTAGTGCCAACAGTGTCATAAAGGCCGATGCCGCATAAACCAACAGTAACAACTGCCACAGTGGGTCTGGGTCTGGGTCTGGGGCGAAAAGTGAATTCAATAAGTGAATTTATGTGCAAAGACTAAAAAAGCGTAGCAGACTGGCAGAGTGGCAGACTGGCACCCAGGCAGGCAGGCATATTGCCAAAAGCGAAAATAAAATTAATAATCACAAGAATTTCACTTTTCACGCAACGACACAAAGCAACAACAACAACAACAACAGCAGCAGCAGCAACTACAACATCATCATCGTCTGCCTTGTCACCCACAAAAATAAAAAGCGAACGCAGTTGCATAAATTTATTGAAATTTGCATTTCGGTTTTTGGAGCTGGGGACGCTTTTGTTGTTGTTGCTGCCGCTGCTGTACCAAGTTTTGGCCTACAAAAAAAAAAAAAAAGAAAAAAATGCGAAGAAAAAATATGGCATCGATTGATCGCAACGCAAGATATTTCAATTAGCGTAAATACATTTTTGTCGCTGTTCGAACGGACGGACGGACGGGAACGGACAGACAGACGGACAGGCAGAGGCAGACGGCGCATTCAGATTGGCAGACGAGCTGCGTCCAAAGAGAAATCGAAGATCTTTTGCAGACGCTTAAGCAAACGCAACGGATGCGTAAATGAAGTAACGATATAGTTGTTATTCAGAAAATAGCGAAAGATAAAAAAGAGAGTGCTCTAGCCGAGCAGTGAACGACTACGAGATGCCCTGCACCAGGCATACTTATTTAACAATACATAAATTTAGTATAGAATATTGTTTAGTTCCTTTCTTTTTCACTTTTTAAGAGAGGCGGGCATTAAAAATCGAAAATGCTCATAGTTTTACATGTTATCAGCTGAAATTTTGCAACTTCAATTGTTCAGCTTTTAATTATTTACGTTATGCCAAAAAGAAATAAAATTTAAATACCAAATACTTATCGATAATTAAAAGAATGGTATAATTTATCGGCTATCGAAACAAATTTGAATGAATGTGACAGCCAATGATAAATGCATATTTAAGAATTGAATACTTTACCATTTTCGGCCGAGTATACACATATACTTACATATATGCATATGCATGTGTATATTAAATATGCTGTCACGCCTCTTTCTACTTTCTACACTGAACGCCCCTTTCAAATATAAGAATTTTCGAACTTTGCAAATTTCTTGGACATTTCATTGTTGAATGTTCGTTTATATAATATACATTGATCGCATTATTAGCTTGCATTGTTGAAGAAATACACTTTATGGTCTGTATTTTTAGGAATACAAATAACAATTAGTCTTAGGCAAACACTGTAATTTGATATAATTTGTATTGAGTTTACTGCGCAGCATGACAACTAGCTGAGTGCTACGTGAACGCGACCTGCATTTGCTTTAGACTGGACTGGCAGTTCCGTTTTTCTATAGCAATGCACAAAACATACAAATTTATGCAATAGCCAATTCACCAAATTGTAGAGCGTTTAAAAGACTAAAGTTTGTATCTGGATTAGACTGGTATCAAGGATCCTCTGGCGTTATGGTTACGCGCATTTGCTTAACGCCCCGCAATATGACAATATCTAACTCCTTTTTACCGTCTGCGAGCGCATCGTAAACATCAGAAGAATTCTTAATTTCCTTCTTGTTGATGTGCGTCACAATGTCACCCGGTTGGAGACCTCCGCTGAGAGGGGAAAAGCGGATTAAACTGGGAAATGAGTGGAAATATGTGGATTCTCTTACCTATGCGCTGGTGAGCCCACAATTACCTTCCACACGAGGACGCCGTGCGACAAGGTGTTCGGCATGTTCTGCGTTCGTGACTTGAGCTCAAAGAGTATGTCGGGGGTGAGGGTGAGCATGGTGATGCCCATATACCGTTTGACTGGATAGCCCGTCTTGTAAGCGGAGCCCTTTTTCCGACGCGCTGCGGCGCGCTCCAGAAACACTTTCACATAGTCTATGGGTATGGCGAAACTGATGCCGGCGGTCACCTTCATGGAGTTGACCCCAATGGCCTCGCCGTCCAGATTGACCAGCGGACCGCCCGAATTGCCAAAGGTAATGGCCGCGTCCGTTTGCAGGTAATTAATGTCGCGATTGCGCAGGCCCAGCTCCTGCGAAGCGCGCTGTGTGGAGCTGATGACGCCGGCCGTCACTGTGTTGCTCAACGCCAGCGGGCTGCCCAGGGCCACGACCCATTCGCCGGAACGCAACGTGCTGCTCTTGCCCAGCTTCATTACGGAGAGGTTGTTCACCTGGATACGCAACGTTGCCAAATCGGATGTCTGGTCCACATCCTCGATGGTGGCGGGAAATGTGCGTCCGTCGGATAGACGCACCTGCACCATCGTGTTGGGCTTGTTAATCACCACATGAGCATTGGTCAGTATGAGGCCATTCTGTTCGATGACGAAGCCGGAACCGTTCGATGCCGTGATGGGCTGCCCGCTGAAGTAGTCAAAGTGCCGCGTGTCCTTGATCTCGATGTACACGACAGAGTCGGCGCACCCAGCGACAACGTCCGCAATGAAATTGAATTCACGTCGGCGACCGTTCAGTGTGCGCGCCGAGATCGTCGGCGTCAACTCCTCGCGCTGTGCCACCATGGTGCTTGCCAGTGCACCGAGCGAGAATGGCACAAAGAAACGAATGGCGCTGCGCCAACTGTAGCCACTGAATCCATTTTTGTTGTTTCTATTGTCGTCCTCGTTTTTGTTGTTGTTATTATTTCTGCTGGAGTTTGTGCTAGTGGGACTGCTCGCTGAGTTAGTATTGAGTGCACTGGGTGCGGATTTGTGACGGCAGTAGAGCAACGTGGGCGCGCATCGTTTCACGAAGACATTCAGTTTGTTGATGCTGCGCAGCGCCATTAATTTCTGTGACTGTATCAAAATGTAATTGTTATTGTTATTTAATTTGTGCTTCCATTTGTGACTTGGCCGCACAGCTGTTTGACACATACGTCTAGCTGCCTGCTGTGTCACGCAGATAAATGTGCTCACAATCTATCGATAGGCGCAAAACAAACCGTCTGCAAATATTGGACATAAAATTTTCAGTTAACGTAATGGTTTCTCACAGACACCTCTAAATGGCATAATCAACATGAAGGAATTTTAGAAATAAAGTCTGTTATTGCTATATATAATAGAAAATACGGAGATTGCTATGCCGTCTTCCCTCAACCTGTCTGAATGTTGTATGACTATTTTGACGTGTATGGCCCGATAAGTTGTGTTGATTTTATCGCCTGGCTAACAATTGATATTCTCGCATTCGATTGCAGTTGCGAGCCAGTTCAAGAAGTGAAATAACAATGGAACAAAATTAATTGCACAAAATATAGTTTTAGTTTTAATTCTGGTGTTGAAATGTCGCAAATAGTATAGCCACACGCCGAAGTCATGATGGAAGTATTCCAAACTGATACGCATTACATATTTGTAAAGCGCGACAAGAGCCTGTGGTGGAATCGCAAGACGTCGGAATTTACAATAAAGCCAGGTAAATACAGAGATGAATCATTGCTTAGATGCAAGGCAGCAGCTGATTTTTTGTATTTATAATTAGTTGTTTTTGTTGCTTAGCCTCGACATAAGCCTTATCTGCATTTCGCTCACGTTTTTGCTCTCGAAAGCGAAAATGCACGGCAGGCAACGTAAATGTTCATAAACGTGTGTAATTCTGTGGTGAGTGTGTGTGTGTAGTGAGTGTGTGCTCTAGTTTGTCTCTGAATGTCAAGGGTGGAATGGGGCTTGGGAAGTCGGAGCTTCTGCCGCCCACTTATACAGTTAGCTTTGCCTGATTTGTTTTGTTGTGGGCGTTTGCGTCTGGTTTTTGCTGTGCGTTTTACTGTAAATGCCTTTTAATGGGTCGTGTATCTATTAATATACGGAACAGCAGTACAGTAAATACAGTGTGTACACAACCCTCTTTAGCCGCGAAAGGCTGAGCCGTTAGCTTCAAGCGTAATTCTTTGCGCAAATGACGTTCGTGCGTGTTTATTCATGTTGCTCGTTGTCCATTTGTAAGTGCGTTTACTGTTCCTTGTCTATTTACTATTCCTAGAGCAATCAGTTGTGTGCATGTTGACATTGTTCGGAAGTAATTATAAAAATAGCTTCACTATCAATTTGTATGTTTGCAAGTCCTTCTAATTGGGCTTCGTTTAACGTCCTGTTGATTGCTCGTTAATTGCGCAGGCGGTACAATTCCTGTAATTTAGTTAGCATGCAATTTAATATTCATTTAAGAATAAATTGTGTGTCCGATTCGCGGTTTGAACTCCAACCCCCGGTCACGGCCACGGCATTTGGCATGACTCAGCTGCAGACTTTGACCTTTTACATTGTGAAAGCTCAAAAATTTGCTCATTTGAACAAAAATCTCATTCAAGGTTACAGAAGCTGCTTTTCAAGTTCAAATTGCCAATTTCCAAAAACGGTTTTACGATCCAAATCCGTACGTAATCTTAAGTGGCATCAGCAGTTTGTCGACCCTTACACTTGCTCATTATCGTGTTTCACTTAACTTTGCGGTTTTAATTTGCTAATTTTTTTGTAACATTCAGGTATTACAAAAACGGTCCAGCTTGTTTTTTCTTTCCTCCCAAAATTTTGAAATATTCGTTTTTAATTTAGCTTGGCTTTGCCGTCTCTCTCTCTCTCTCTCTCTCTTTGTCTCCATATATTATTATATATATCTATATACATATTAATCACTATGTCACTTTAATATTGCATATATAGACGATAAAGTTGTGGCCTCAATTTAGTTTTAGCTCAATTTTTTTTATTGTTGATAAGCTTCTCTGTTTCTTTTTTGTTTTTTTAAGCTAAAAGACAAGTGCGATAAGATTAAGGGAAAATTATTTTAACGTGATATTTTTTGCGTCATTGTAAGATTTCTAACTATGCTGCCGGTCACATCCGTTCACGTCTCTACTGCATTTATCTCAAGGATGAGTCATACAAGTTTTTTATTTTATTTTATTTTTATTTATTTTATTTTATTTTATATACT